GCGCAGCAGGAGTGGACGGAACACGTGGTCAGGGGACGGGCGTCCAAAGTTGGACGCCCAGGGAGTTGGACGCCTGCGGTTGCTGCCCTATAAATACCACGCGATCTCCACCATTCCACACACCATCTCACAACCCATTTCGGGTTTCCCCTTCAATTTGCTCAATATTTCATTGTATATTAGTTTAGTTATTATTTTTAAGTATTTTCCAGAGGATTTGACTCCCGATCTGTTCTGTTCCGCTTTTACGGAGGTTGTAAGTTTTCTTTATTTAATAAAATGCTATTTTAATTTATGTTTGCATAGTATGAGTTAGGGTCCGGATCTCTGGGTCCGGACTAGTTTGGTTGTTTATTTTTGATGTTAAATTAATGATGGAATGGTTAATCTATTGTTCTTGCCTTACTTGATTAATTAAACTCGAAAGATTTAATTAGCTATTTATTGAGAAAATATTGTATGCCAAAAAGGCTATGATATTCAAGTGCAACAGATTAAGTACAAATCTAGAAATGGATGAGTAGTAATAGAAATATTATTATTCCAATTGTTAATTTAATATGATAAAATAAATCCAAATGATGTCAGACCCTAGGTCCAGATCTATACTTATATTATGTAAACTTAATTCATTATTTTTACTCTACTCCCTTCATAATCGTTCCGAGAAGACTTTCATAGACCAATCCTAATCTTCGCCTAGTTAGAGTAATTAAACTAATTCCCTTCGTCCACTCCTCGAGAGATACGACACTCGGAGAGAAAACTAACCCTTTACTGGGAAGGTTTACTACCCGAAAAACTACGATTGTCAGAATGTAATGGAGGGGCAAATGTGGGGTTTAAGGGTGTGGTGGTGTGGTGGTTTTGAAGTGGGTTATTCGGCCAGGGGAGGTGAAAGGGAAAACGGAGAAAGGACAATGTGGTTTAAGTGTCCATTTGGATGTTTTGGGGGGTTGGGGTTTTACCATGATGGTTCGGCCCTAGGGTGGGGTTGGGTTCAAGGATATTATGGCTATGTTGTGTGGCTTGTCAGTGATAAATTCAACCCAAAAGAGATCATAACACTTAGCCATTATTCCATTGATTTGTTTAACGTCTTTAGAATCCTTGGTAGTAACCCGGGGTATATCACAAAGTGTTCTACATCACGTTCCATCTTTGGCCAAAAATAATGTTCTTTCATCATGAGATATGTCTTGTTGATTCCGAAATGTCCAGCTAGACCGCCGCCGTGGACTTCTTCGATGAGAGTCTCCCGAACACTTCTCGGAACACAAAGTTGATTACCATGGAAGAAGTAACCATCTCTTTTATGAGATAATCCCCATGTGGCCGAGATTGGCATATGGCATACACTTCTTTGAAATCTTCATCTTGCTCGTACAATCCCTGCAAACATTCAAAACCAAGAACTTTGGTACTAAGTGCCGTTTGTAAAAATGCCTTCTTGATAAGGCGTCGGCTCCTTTGTTCATGACCCCATTCTTTTGTTTGATTGTAAATGTGAAGGTCTATGTACTCGACCCATTTAGCATGGCGGGGTCGAAGTTTATGGTGTCCTTGAATGTACTTCAATGCCTCATGATCAGAATGGAGAATAAACTCCTTTCCCACGAGGTAATGTCTACAATGTTCGAGGGAGCGAACTAGCGCGTAAAACTCCTTGTCATATGTGGAATAGCGCCTCCTTGTCTCATTTAACTTTTCACTGAAGTATGAGACGGGATGTCCCTCTTGAGATAGGACAGCCCCAATGCCCACACCCGACGCATCGCATTCGACCTCAAAGAGCTTTTCAAAACTCGGAAGGGCCAACACGGGTGCATGTGTTAGATGTTCCTTGATTGTTTCGAAGGCTTGATGCGCCTTCGTATTCCATGCAAAACGCTGATTCTTTGAGAGGTCGGTGAGGGGAGCCGTGATGGTTCTGAAATCCTTCACGAATCTCCAGTTGAATGAGGCGAGTCTGTGAAAACTTCTAACTTGCTGCATGGTGGTTGGTACGGGCCAATCTTGAATAGCTCGAGTCTTCTTTTCATCAACTGGAATTCCTTCACTTGAGTTGTAATACCCTAAGAACTCCGTTTCTTGGGAGAAGAATTGACTTTTCTCCAAATTCCCATACAGCTTCTCTTCATCCAATTTCTTAATCACCAAAGTGAGGTGATTAACATGCTCCTCTCCGCTACGAATGTAGATCAAGATGTCGTCAAAGTAAACAACGACAAAGTGACCGAGGAGGGGCTTCAAAACTTGATTCATCAATCTCATAAAAGTGTTGGGTGCATTGGTGAGGCCGAATGGCATGACTAACCATTCATATAACCCGAACTTGGTTTTGAAGGCTGTCTTCCACTCATCTCCTTCATAAATTTGAATTTGATGATAGTGTTGTACCCAAACTTAGGATAGATAAACAGGAACAGATTCACTCAGGATTCAGAGCTATGGAATAATCGATTAGCACATTTGGTAAATCGATTATTAGGGTTTAGCTCAACTGGAAATGTTCAGAGAAACCAGATAGTCGATTGACACTGCAAGACAATCGATTATGTGATGTTGCAGATTTTGAAGAAGATTCAGAGGGCTACAATAGTCGATTATCAAACAATGATAATCAATTATTTATAGGTTCAGGATCAGGATTAGAAGAAGGGAAATGTTTTTTGTGGTTTTTGTATAAGGGTAAACCAAATAATGAATAAGAGATAAACACACTCTTATTTTATTTGGGGCTATTTCTTTTCACACAATAATATTCACTACTATTATATGAAATAGACTCCTAACACACACTCAAAAGTAGCCAACTTTAGAGATATTTCATTAAGAAATGGGGGAGAAACTAGCTTCACACTAATTCAAATATTTTACTCAAAGAGTAAAGAGAATAAAATTACAATCTGGTGTTGCATTATAAGGCCCTTGGCCAAAATAAATAAGGGGAAGAAAACTAAGGGGAAACTTCCTACCACTTTCCTAGAATCAAGTGTACAATATCCATTTGTTTGATGCCTTTGGTTTGTCTTCATTGATCAGTGTTAAAGGGTGAATATGGGGTGTCTTTGATGAGGGAATTTCGGCCATGTGAAGGGTGAGGGAAGGGGGTGGTTTGGTTATGTGAAGGGTGAGGTGAGGGGCTGGATTTTTGGTCCACACATGAGGAATAATACATTAAGGATTGTCCTTTATTCCTTTGGTTTTATTGTGGATTTGAAGGGTGATAAATGGGATATTTGGGGGGGCTGAATTCGGCCATGGGCATAAGGGGGGTGTGGGTTTGATGTATTATCACAACAGGACAAAAGACATGTTTTGTTCCTTGTCCCCTGGTTTGTTCCTCTTGTAGTGGGGGATGTTTGTGATGGATGGGGACTGATGGGGGCATATTTTCGTGACTTTGAAGTAGGAAGGGATGGGGAAGGTTCTTATTTGATGAAAGGAATATTTAGGGAAGAAAACAACACTCACATTATTTTGGGTTGTACTTTTCCTTTCAATTTTGGCCAGGGCTTCGAGGCAGAGGAAAAGGGCTTTATTTGAGTAGTAAAAATACTTTGGATATGTGGGAGTGGGTTGGGCTTATAGGCATTTCGGCCTACGTTGGGTTTTGTGAGAGATAAGTCATGGTTTGGGTTTTGGTGTGGGATGGATCAATGAGTTCAACCCAAAATGGATCATAACACCTAGACATTAAACACTTGATTTCTTTTAATA